AATGGGTTTTCATCCCCAACCCTAACCCTAACCCTAACCCTAACCGTAACTGCAACCCTAACCCTAACACTTTTTTTAAATTTAAGATTTTACATATTTATCTTAAATTATTTACACTATTGTTCTTTTAAATGAACTAATTGGTGTGCTATATGACTTCAACAATAACAGCAGTTACCCCTAACTCCTAACCCTAACCCTACACTGCAACCCTAACCCCAACCGCAACCCCTGTAAGCAACAATCCAATTAAGGTGGTGGGTTCCTGTATCTTTAATCATCTGACACCCTAACCCTGACCCTAGAATTTCCGTGTCATAAATATCACCAAGCAAAGGACCTGTAAAAACAAAGGCTGACAAATATTTCATGTATGATGGAAAATCTTTGAAAGAGGCTTGTTTCTGTTACAGTTTAATACATTTAACACTTAAAATTGATCATTTAAATGTGTTGTCTCAAGTTAGCAGTTAGACGCACTATAGCATCTGTGCTATGCAGGCTGAGATCTTAGTTATTAGACATTTGCAAATGTTTAAATTGACATAATCTGTAAAATCTTGACGGTTTGCAAACATAAATTTAATTTAATTATAATTATAGCAATCAAACATGTTTTTCTCATCAGCTATTTGTGGCCACATGACATCAGTGGGTGCACGTGCATGATGAAGCTCTGACACAAGTTTCTGTTTGACGTGAACTAGCGCAGACTGCCACCCTATGGATACATCTGGCACATCAACCTCTTCTGATTGATTTTTTTTTTCAATCAAAGGATGGAACAGTGAAATACAAAGAGGATCAATAGAAGTTAAATATGCAAAATTAGAGGAATCGCCGAGATCATAAAATAAGTTACAATGTTGCAAAATGTTTGAGTGATGCATTAATGTGTAAAACTGATATATTATACATGATTTAATGTCGCAAACACCACCGCTTTCTGATGTTTTAAGGAATAAGGGGAAGTTTAAGGATCCTAATGTCAAACATCACAGGATCTAAGAGAGACAACCACACATATGAGTATTAATCCAAAACACGTCTCTGACGCCCGGCCCCTTTCTGCGACCCTCTCCATCAGTCAGTCATCATCCACCACCATCACGTTCCCGTTCAGCTCGTACTCGAGGGTGGCCCAGTCAAAGATGTTCCCCTTGGGGACCTTGTGGCCGTAGTGCCAGGCCTGGATCATGCTCCTGGAGAGCACGAAGTCCCACATGTTCAGGTCGGTCACCTCCCCTACGAAGCTCTGCACGGCCTCCAGACCCCCCAGGTGCTTGTCTGGGTCCTGCCCCAGGAGGACAGTGCCCTGCGGACGGATGGTGTGTCCGGGTTTGTAGACCTGGTAGGTGCTCCGCTTGCCCTCCACCCAGAAAGCTGTGAGGCCTGTGCGAGACTCCCAGGTGAGGCAGAGGCTGGTTCGGAAGGTGGAGAGGGGCGGCAGGTGGAAGAAGACGCCATCGCCGCTCATGTAGAAGGAGATGCGGCCATCCCTCTCACGCCACACGTTGAGTTCGTCATAGTCGGCCGTGCGGTAGGCGAACAGGATGACCTGCCGCTCTTCAGGCAGCTCGGTGGCCACACGCATGCACAGGGTGAGGGCCTTCAGGCTCATGTCCTTCTGCGGGATCAGGGCCACGAAGCTGAAATCCGTCTCATACGGGAACACCAGGACCTTCTCACTCAGACCCACTGTGGTCACACAAACAGTTAGGAGTTAAGACGATCTTGATCAGTGTGAGAGAGAAGAAGGGAAGAAAGAAAGAAAGCATGGGGGACGAAGGAAGGAAAATAGGGAAGAAAGAAAGCAGGGAGGAAGGTAGGAAGGAAGGAAAAAATGAAAGAAAAAATGAAATAAAAGGAAGCAGGGAGGAAGGAAAAGAAAATAGAAAAGAAAGAAAGAAAACAAGGAGGAAGAAAGGAGTGAAGGGAAATGAAATAGGAAAGAAAGAAAGGGAAGGAAGGAAAAAGGGAATAATAAAGGCAGGGAAGAGGAAGGAAGGAAACAGAAAGAATAACAGCAGGGATAGGAAAGAAATAAAGGGAGGAAGGAAGGAAGGAAAATTAAAAGAAAGACAGAACAAAAAAATAAAAGAAAGCAGGGAGGGGGAGGAAAGAAAAAAATCAAAGAAAGAATGAAAGCATGGAGGGAGGGCGGAAAGGAAGGAAGGAAAATTGACAGAACGAACAAAAAACATACATTTTTCACTGAAGACATTTAGTTCTTGATTTCTTACCTTGTGTCCCTGAGGAGAGACTGATTGACAATCCAAAGACACAAAGAGAAACCACAGCACACTTCTGCAAACACACACAGAACATCCAGAATCAGCCATTATCCAACATCCAGTCCCAAGTTATAACCCTTCACTCTCATCAAAGATCCCATGAAGTCGAAAGTCACTAGAGGAAACATTTCTTCTCACCATGTTTGTGTTGTTTTGTTGTCGGTCGACGTTGCTAACTCAGTCCCACTTGTTAATAACCAGTCCTCTTCCCTCCTAGCACAGGGCATGACGTCAGCTCTGATGGACGCTCTGACAATAGGCCTGGTGTGTGATGCCTGGTGACACTGTCCTGTGCATGTGACTGATGCAGACACATTGCACCTGCATCTTGTGTGTGTACATGTTACATGACAGAACAGTGCAGAGATGTTAAGTACAAACTTCTGATCTGATCCACAGCAGTGATTTCTATCTGTCTGAGATTACCGGTGGCTCATCGACACGACTGGACTTGTGTGAAGCTTCATTTCTCATAGTTAAAAGATTTAAACTCAGCAGCAACATCCCTGGTTACTATGGACATACCTGGAGACACTTTTCATTCAAATTGCTTTGTGCTATTTTTTTGTGTTTGTATTTTCATATTTCTGTGATTTGAGGGAGTAGATGATAACAAAACCATGTGCAATAAAAAAATTGGTTAACTTTAAAGGTTTTCATCAGATTCAAGGATGAATAATAATACTACTACTAATTATAATAACTTTATTTGTATAGCACTTATCTAAACGAGGTTACAAAGTGCTTCACAAAATACATGGCAAAAAAAACAGTGAATAAAAATGAATGGTATTCAATTCAATTTTAAGTTCCAAATCATAACATATTACAAGACCTTAAAATGTATAGAAAAACCAAACAGTTCCCACAATGAGTGGAGAGAAAAAAGGTGGTCATCTGCCCAGTTGAGGTGAGTGGAGAAAAATGGGGGAAGATAGGAGAGGTGGGTGGCAAAGAGGGGAGAGAAGAGAGAGAGAGGAGAGAGGTAACCATCATGTTTAAGCTCCGTCAGACTGGTTGTAATGAAAATAATAATCTTCAGTTGCACCCTAGCTTCATCCAACCCCTCATCAGGTGTTTCGTCCTTTTAATCTTAACTTAGACCTGAGGGTACACTGAGGCTAAAGGTAAATCTGACCAGCTAAAAAGGATGTTCATTTTTAGGATCCAGCCTTACTGGTTACTGGATTTTTAATAAAATGCAGATAAGTGGGAAATTTCAAAGCAGAAAACCCACTAGAATATACACACACATATATATATATATATATTTGAAAAACCTATTAAATTTACCCAACTGAGAATTTATTGAAGGGCGTGTGTTATTAATTGTGCTGCAAAAAAAATGATATGTAAGAGAATTGATTCCAATGAGCAGCGGAGTTACCATCATACTCGGTACCTCTTTAATGAGAAACTTAATTTGGACAAATGAAAACAGAGGCAGGCATTTATGTTATCAACATATCTACATTTAATACAGTTTCTCAAGCTCTATAGGATTTCTCAAGAGAAAAAAAAAAAAGAACCTTATTTTGTAAAGAAATAAAATCTGAGATACACAAGCAAATTATTTACACTGCCTGCACCTCAACACAAACCACCGACAGGCCTAACTCACCACGGACACACATTCAGCAGAAAAACCTGTAAACTAAGAGGATGGGACTGAGGTATGGGCGATAAAGATGGTTGAAACTCTTCCAGCATGTCTAATACAGAGGAGGTGGGTACAGCAATGCTAGTGAACCTCAAATCCTTGTAACAGGATGTTCACAATCTTAAAGTTAGTTTCACACCGACGACTGGTGTACATGAGCTGATGCAACCATCGTCTTTTACAAACTGTGACACTGGGAGGAGAAGGTGCATAAAATGAACAGCAAAAAAGGCGAAGGAAGTGACAAACGCCCTCTTTTGTTTTTTTGCAAAGGAAAAGAAAATTCACTTCATGCATGATGAAAGCGGCCACACACTGACATTCCAGGCAGACAGCACAAGCCAAACACAACGTCCGAGCACAGGATTTAGTTTCTATGAACGACACAGACAGCACAGACCATTCTTCGACGCAGATTTGAGCTTCAGCCCGATCAGCTGACGCCATCTATCGAATTCAAACATTTTCAATAATTATCCAGCAACGTAGAAACGTCTTCTTTTTTTTTTCTTATGCAGCAGTCATTTCCATTACCCATTTCAAGGCTTTTTTCATGGAAACCTTACATTGTCCTGGTAAGAAACATCTTGAATTACTGTAGGTCAAACCTAAAGAGTAAACTTTGCATACATTCAACTTATTTCAATTGTCTGTAACAGGGGTGTGATGACTGAAAAAAAAAAAGTGAGGAGAGTCTTACAGTATGGCGACATGGAGCGCCGGAGTCATGCCAGTTAACTCACAACAGGTTAAAATACTCAGTGACAAACTTACCGTTGACTAATTGTTCAATTGTCATTGTGTAAAACTTGCATACAAACTAGTCACCCTTGTTGAGAATAGAGTTTTGGCATTTAAGTTACCATTTCAGCAAATGCTCCGTTCTTAAAAGAAAAAAAATAACTATGAAATACAGGAGTAAACGCCAAATAAAAGGCCAATGTTTGAATTAATTCTGCCACCAAAGTGTAATTGTTTTTATATTGGTGGGTTCTGTGAAACACTGGTGTGCAATGCTGATGCTTTCCCAGGATTGTGGCACTCAGAGAAAGAGAAAGACAGAGAGGGAGCAAGAGGAGACCTGAGAACATGGCCCCTTGTTTTGTGTAAGAAAGGAGTCAGGCTTGTAATACTAGAAACAGCATGACAGAGAGGACAGGAGAAAGTAGAGAATATCTGAATGGAAAGGGGGTTTTAAAGGGAGCAGCAGGCCATGACCACAGAGCCTCAGAGAGTCAGAGCAGGATGTTTTACAGCAAAGATAAAATGTGAGGAGGAGGTGGAAGAGGAGGAGGAGGAGGGAAGGCAGAGCAAGCTGTATGGCTCCCATCTGGTAGTCCATCGTGTGGCTTTTCCTGCTTGTGTTAAGTTTAAGTTCGAGGCAAGGGGTGATTCTCTAATGTCTTGTGTTGTCCAGGCTTTGTGTTGAGTTTCGGGGCATTATGAGAGTAATGGGACGCGGGGG